AGAGCGGCACTAGCCAAGTTGTGTCTTAGCGAAATGCAGGGACGGAAATGAAAGTAACATGAAGGGTTGGAACTACTGTGGCCTTGCAGGTCGACAAACAATGGATTGTCTAGCTTCTGGGAGTGGTGACCCCAGCTGGATACCTCATGCAAATGTTGATCACAGAGATGTCCACTGAATGCGCCATTCATACAAGCAAATGATACCGAAGCGGTATGGTGAGCCAAGGATACGTGCTGCTCATTCCTTTTAAAGCTGATATGAACGGCCTTATAGAGTATTAAGTATCATCTTGTTTCTCAACGCTTGACATAATCTCGGGTGCTTGTCTCTTGTGTTCTGTGACATTACTCTGCCTGTCAATATGGAGATAGTCGTTCCTAGACGGTCCCTACCTGGGCTATCATTCATTACCTTGAACATATTCTTTGCTCTGTTCTCTCATTGTCTGTTTGGTCTCAGCCATGCCGTTTCATTTGTCAAACCTGAGCACAATGTCCATAACCCCCCTCCATTGGCCATCTTTACTGGCCTACCGACTAGCCCACTCAATACCAGAGATACAACAGTTTCGAATGCGACCGGCCAGACTGGTGGCAGTTCGGCTTCCTCTAGCAGTACCGATTTCACCTGCGGGCCTGACAAAGAGTGTGTCAACGGTGCATGTTGTGGTGAGAGTGGCTGGTGTGGTTACGGTCCAACTTACTGTGGTGACGGCTGCCAGTCGAATTGTAACGCCACCGCAGAATGCGGTCAATACGCGACTGTTGCAGGACAGACATGTCCCCTTAACGTCTGCTGTTCAGAGTTTGGCTTTTGTGGTACTACAACAGACTTTTGCGACGGCGGATGTCAGTCCAACTGTGAGCAACCTAAGCCAAGTACCGGCGGTGGTAATGTCCAGCAGAGGGTTATTGGCTATTGGGAAGCCTGGAATCTGGACCACCCATGCGGGACGATGAACCCTAGCGAGATACCCGTGAGCATGCTTACACACCTGAACGTTGCATTTGGCTACATTACTTCGGACTTTAAAATAACGAACATGGATGGCGTCTCCACTACCATGTACAAGAATGCTGCAGCAGTAAAGTCAAAGAACCCGAATCTGAAGGTCCTGATTGCACTTGGCGGTTGGTCCTTTAGTGACCCCGGAAACTGGCAGAGCGTCTTCCCAACCATGGCTTCTACGGCGTCAAACAGAGCGACCTTCATTAACAATTTGCTGGGTTGGCTGTCCGAGTACGGGTACGACGGCGTTGGTGAGTGACGCGATACTTGAACCATGAGTCAGATACGTTAACGTATAGTTCTGCAGACTTCGACTGGGAATACCCAGGCGCCGATGATCGCGGTGGCTCGGAAGGAGACGGCGAAAACTTCACTGCTTTGCTCAAGGAGCTCCGGACTGCGATTAATGCAAGCGGCAAAGAATATATCGTCACCTTCACAGCGCCTTCCTCATACTGGTATCTCCGGCACTTTGACATTACCAACATGGTAGGCAATGTCGACTGGATTAATTTGATGTCCTATGACCTGCATGGTGTATGGGACAGCAACAATCCAATTGGCAACCAAGTGATAGCTCATACCAATCTCACCGAGATTGATTTGGCCCTTGACCTGTTTTGGCGCAACAACATTGAGCCTTCAAAGATCGTACTCGGCTTGGGCTTCTATGGACGGTCTTTTGAGCTCTCATCTCCCTCCTGCTGGCGGCCTGGTTGCGAATTCTCGGGCCCAGGGGCTGAGGGCGTTTGCACAAAGACTGCTGGTATCCTGTCATACAGAGGTGAGAAAACTTTAGCAGCAGGCCAAATTGCACTGATGCCAGCTAATGATTCCTCCGCAGAGATATCCGGCATTATTGATCAGACTGGCGGCGGTAAGCCGTATTTTGATGAAGTAGCTGCTGTAAAGTACATGGTATATAACGGCAATAGCTGGATCTCTTACGACGACGCGGACACTTTTAAGCTGAAAATTGCTTACGCTAATACCATTGGTCTTGGAGGCCTGATGATTTGGGCGATTGACCAAGATGATACCAGATTGACTGCCTTGAGAGCTGTCACTGACTCTAGTCTTGCCAGCGACGACACGGCCCCGTTCACATTGGTCGACCTGCACCGCTTGTGGTCCATCGAGGATTATCCCACCGATGATAGCAACCCGCGGTACGGCCTTGTTAATTTCGGCGGGGAGGCCAATATGGGAGAGACCAACCCGGACAAGACCGGTTTTGGTTTCTTTATAGTTGCCGGTGATTCGTATGCAGTCTCGAGACTCAGAAGCCGAGATGGCGAGCCAGAGCCCTTCACGTTCTTAGACTGTCCGTCAAACGTTATGAGCCGACCCGATAATCATGTACAGTACGCTCGCGTTGTCTGCTTGAGTGAGAATATTGAAGGTTGTTTTCGTGTCATGGAGCAGGGTGTCGAAGGAACCATAATAGAGATGCCCGACAATGTAAGTCTGCTGCAAGGGACTCACGATACTGATATAAGTACTGACAATGTCTATCAAAGTGTGCCCCCGGCACATTTGCAAGAGCTATTGCTCTCAATACCTCTGACGGTGTGTCCAAATCCTCAATCAGCCTTAGAATCGATTAAATGTGTTTTCTGACAAAGAACAGATCAAAGTCTTCCATCACACCTTCAAGCGCGTGCCACTTCTGAAGTGTTTGACTTCTCGTTTGACTTTAACTTCGAGCTCATACGCAAGGATACTGATCAGACCAGTATTCGCTTAGACTACTCAAGCCTACCAGGTGAGCACTCAATCTCATCCCATGTCAAAATAGAAGCCTCTAACAGGATATATATTAGGCTACTGGAATGATATCGTCGACTCCGAAGGCATCGAGTCTTCAGACGTGAAACGTCTAACGGAGCGGTTTTTCAGCAGAGACACTATCTACTGGACCGAAAAGTTTGGCTCGCTCAGCCTGGATGAGAGCAGGGAGCTGAACGTCGAACAAAGCCTTACACAGTCACTCTACTGGGATTCAATCAATGAGTGCTCTGTTGATGGCTCTGAGTTCGGCGAGGGCATCGGCGCCTATATCGATGGCAACATCAAAGCCCGGTTCGAATATGGATTTAGTTTAGGCGTAAGTTCGGTCTCCAAGCTTCACTCACCCGTACCACAAAGTAAAAAAGACATTAACGACCCAAACTATGTTAGGCCGTGATTCAAGATGGCAAACTCCTCGTGCAGACAACAAACGGCGTGCTCTATGCCGAGGGTTACTCTGATCTGACATACACAGTCGGCGGTGTTGGGAGGATAGATGTCGCACAGGCGAAGAACGGCAATCCCTCGTGGTATGCTGGCGAGAAGACTCCCATCACGGCTCATACCGTCTACGCCAGCGGCATGAAGGGTTGGGCGAGTTACAAGCCGTATGTGCAGGTTGACTACATGATGGCCACAATGAATGCGGATTCTTTCTCAGATAGTGAAATAACACTCAATGGGTTGCTCGGTGCAAGGGTGAACACATCTCTTGGGCCCATCGTCGGAGTCTTTCCTGCAATCAGTTCCTCTGGCACGCCCTCAGGTGTCGACATCGCCGATCCACGAATTTCAATTCCCCAGTCAAACGTTATTTATGGCAGTGGTCCTGGGTTAGACACGGCCAAAATTGCTCTTGCATGCTACTTCTCATTCGGGCTCGATGTCGATTTCGGTGTGCAACAAAACGGCAGAGACCTCGACTGGGAGGGTCCAGATGTGAGTGAGACATCCTGCAAATTATTTACATGATACTTATTACATTATGGCAGATTAAACTCCGTTTTGAGTCCTCAGCCGAATTCACCAATGATGCTTCATCGGGCTCTGGGACGTGTGTTGATTATAGGATTGCGTATGTAAATTCGCCATTAATTCATCCAAAAACTTTTACAGCAACAATTGAATGGCTTACTAACAATGTTGAAAGAACCGTCGAGCGCGTGTGGATTGAAGACCCGTAAGTCCAGTAACCTCATTAACAATTGCGATACCTGCTCACGTTCCCTTCAGGGGCGCGTTGGCATCACTTCCACAATGGCCTGATTCAACAGAGGCTCATGTCGTATATTCGAGCGTTGTAAGTCGGCAACTGAAACTATAGTCCTTTTGATTCCAAACTCAAGATTGCGCAGATAGAGCCTGAAGGTGAGGGTCTCTGTTATGCGGATGCAAAGAGAAAGCGGTCGCTACCAGAAGCCGAGGAGATTAGACTCAAGGACGAATCCACTGAGCAATCTGCAGTCGAGCAATATAACTCTACGCAATTTTCTCAACTCAATTCGTCAGAGCTGTTTCCTATTACTCGCGGCCTGGAAAAGAGAATTAGCTCAATGCCCGGATTCGGTTATGTCGCAGGCGTACCGGTCACACCGGGCCTCATCTTCAAAGGTGCCGATTTCAGCCGGGGACCTAACATTCTGGACAAGTACTCTGAAAAGATCAACTGCAGAAATTGTCTTTCGTGTGAGAGTGTTGGCGAAGATAGAGAGATTGGGCCCCCCTGTTGTGGCTGCGTATCAATGGATCTAGTTTGGGAATACAACGACAAGCCGGCTTGTGATACCTGCAATCCAGATGACGGAACCTGGCCAGGCACCATAATATTAGCATCCCGTTCAGACGAGCGGGGAGATGATGTTCATGCTAACTCAACAAGCAGCAACAAGCACGGTCAGGAGTATCATCTGCTAAATGCGCGTGTCTCCGGCACGGCGACACTCTCTCCGAAAGCGTTAAATGTATGTGGCTCGAGGCTGAATACCCGTGGTAATAACAGATATCCTTCCTTTCCTGCTAATGTGAATTGGCCATGGGATGGCATTGAGCAAGGCCGGTGGGATGGCATTTCAAAATACTGGGGCAACGACTCTGCAACTTGTTCTGACTGGGGAGTCACCGCGCTGAACACTGCTGATACCACCTACGTCAGCAGTTCTACAGCTGTCCGTTCTAAATATCAAAGTAAGTAGCACCATGCCACAACACAAGTTTTCACCCAGCTAATAGGCTTCACTCGCATTACAGCCGAGCATGTATTCGAGGCCCAGTTGATCGGAGACTTCTTTTCGAACTGGCTGGATCAGGGTCAGATTAAAAACCAGCAGCCAGATCCCGATGATCCATCACAGAAGTTTTCCTGCAAGCAAACCAAACAGCACATCCTTAATGGGCAAAATTGGATGGGCGGTACCCAACCCTTTATACGCTATATCATGGAGGAGTTGGGCAGCATAGATAACCTGGACCGTCTGACAATCTACCTTGCTCGCCCTAATAGAGCGAAAGGAGCGGTGCGTCCAATCGGCCAAATCCACAGACAGCATATGAGACGCTAACTGGGAAAAGATGTTCACGGGCAATCAACCAACGTCCCCAGTTTCATATGGGCAAATGACCTCAGAAGAGCAGCTTCTTGCTGTAAAGGAGATGGGTACGGTATCATGTGCTTACAGTCCAGCGGCTCTTATGATTAACACCTATCGCAGGAATGATGTTCTCATACTTGAATGACGCTACCGTCTGGCCAAAATTCTGCGCAACCTACGAAGGCATATATGACAAGATGGGTGAATTTGACGAGTGGTATAACGTGAGCTCTCCCGATCTATTTACTTATTCTGTATTGCCAACATGACGGTTCAAAACAGCTGAACGTGGGCCCGGCTTCTTTCAACATTCAAGAGGAATGGAAAGACTACATCCGCGTAGCGCTCGATTCGCTTGTGCTGCGGTCGCGGGACTCGCTGAGCTATTATATCGCGAATAAAAGGTATACTACTTACCTTTTGCAGTTGTTTCCGCTGGCTCGAGTGTTTGCTGATATTCCCGTCCTATTCTCCAGGTTCACTGTCAACTTGACTTACCTCCTCCAATGGGGGCGCGTTCAACTGTTTGGCCGGAGTAACATCAAGCTTGACCAGGTATGTAAGCATATGGATGCTACCACTGTTTGATGGTCCCACAAGAAATCATCTGTCTTGACCTCAAACCGTACAACACTCAATAAATAGTAAATATGTCATCAAGGTGAAGTCATCCTCCCATATGTATGATAGTCGATGGAATCTTTGAGGATTGAAGTGAGCTGGCTTGGGTAGACAAATGTTTGGTGGAACTACAAATGCGCCCTTATCAGCTTCAGAGCCGTATTGTGTTGTAATAAGTCTTTTGTGTTTTTTTTTTAAATTTTTTTTTTAAAAAAAGTGTGAAACCGTGTCTTGATCCAAAGCTACCCCTTCCATTGTCAATTCAAGTTCATCCTTATCTTATCTTGTCAGGTTATTTATCCGTGGAAGGATCATAGCAAGTACATCTTATTCTCCTACGACAATATAGATGATAAGTATATCTAAAGAGTTTACGAGGCTGAGTATAGTAATCACTAAGTAGTCTTTTAGATATTTAATGATGTCCTTAAAATGAGAACAGTCATCTCTACTCTAATCACAGTTATTAGCTTGATCTAATACGCCGAGATTAGAATATTTCGATATTGGACAGAGTGATTCGGGCAGCATCTAATCAAATAAATATCTTAAAAAAAGGTCTTTTATGAGACATCCCCACAATATAAAAAGCTCAGATACATCGTATAGCACAACTTAACAGGCTTAGGGTTATACGTGAATTTACTCCTCAATCTAAAGCAATTCTATTGAAGCCAGTCTGATGCTGGTCTTTATGACCCTAGCATGCATTTGGCGGGGATATGATTCGAGTTTCCCTGCAAATTCAGGTTCGGCTTCAATGCCGTCTACAGCTGGACTCCAACAGTGGATGATCTTGTTTGTTTGATATGATCGATACGTGCTGGGGTTACTTCATACACATCAGGTAGTTGAGTGTCCCCCCACGGCCTCCGGTCCATCAATTTGACCAAGCCAGGCGCTGCCGTGAAGATTCGAGCCATTCCACTATTTGAAGTAAAAGTAATGCAAATTAGTCGTTGGTGTTGATAGTCAAGTGTACGGTGGTAAGACTTACTGCCCATTGTGTCCAGCACAAATCCATTGCCCTGGTAGTCCTGGCAACTGCCCTATGAAAGGTACACCATCCCCACTCTGGCGAAGATTCAGTTTCGTGAAATATATATCAAAGAGGAGCAGGCGCAAACTGACCAATGCAATTATTCCACTCCAGCTATAGTCGTAAAGTTCTCCGGGTCCAGAAACAGGGTCCGTCCAATTTGGAAATTGAGACTCTGCAAACTCCCGCACAGCCTCCGTTACAGACTTAAAATCTGTTAAACCGTCATCTACGCATCTATCCGGATGTTTATCCAACCATTCCTTGAACTTTCTTTGGCCGGGATTGCTACCACCGAACAAGATTATGCCATCAGCAGTACAGCGCGGATTAATGCTAAACAACGCTCCGTCTTGCAGTAAGACTCCATAAGAATTCTGCAAGGCCTTTGACCCTGCAAAGGTTATGGGAGGAACGACTTTATTGCACATGTGAGGCGTCGGCCAGATGAGACCACGCAACGAAGGCTCAAGGGCAGAACCATAAGCATTGGTTGCGTGGACTACCTGTCCGCACTCGATACTTCCACGCTCACTTTCAACCACCCAGTTCGTTGATTGTTGGGAAGCTTGTCGTATGCATGTCACTTTGGTATATGTTTGTAAGTTAACCCCTTTCTTCAAATTGTCGCGCATAATATGTGCTGCGAGCTTCCAGGGATGAAGAGTCGAAGCCGGCCAAGCATAACATGCTTGCGCATCTTTGATACGAGAGACCTACAAGATTGTCAGCAATGTGATCAAAGCTGGTCAGTGGGTTTCCCAACCTGTGCTGCAGTGGCTGGATCGTGAAAGACCTTAATATGGTCGACCCTGCCGCCAGCTGCTTTGAATGCTTCATATGTATCCCTTGCGATTGCCGCAACCTCCGGGGTTACGGGAACATCGAGAGTGTCTCCGACCCAAAGGTCGCAGTCGACGTTGTTCTGGCGAACGTACTGTACTAGATCAGACCATGTTTGATGTTCATTCTCTAGTATTTTGAGCGCTTGCTGGGTACCAAATGCTTTCTCATACTTCTTGAATCCGCGCCATTGATCAGGTTTGCAATGACCGGCGTTACGACCGGTCGCGCCAGAGCAGAACTCGCGGGCTTCAAGCACAACGACCCGTTTCTCAGGCCAGGTTGCGAGGCAATGCTTCGCGACTAAGGTCCCGGTAAGCTGTGTAAGAGAGCACGTGTTAGCCATTTGAGGATATTCGCTGGCGATGGATGGACGCATCTACCCCAGAGCCGACAATGACGATGTCTGCTGACGAAGGCAGTTCGGAGGTTGTGCGATGGTCCAACAGAGGATCATTTCGCACGGTCTGCAACCAATATGAAAGCGATCGGCCATCTTGCTTTGGGAAACCGAAACGGTCGCCGGATAACTTGGGTGCGGAAGCCTCGTCATTGACATTTAGTATCGCTGATACACCGTGCTCCATCATGCCAGTAAATGCGGCCCCAGCCGGAGGGACCTCGACGCTTGGTGATCTGCCCATCGTAGTAATGCTGAACGTTTGTACTGGAATGCACAAGTAACTTAATGGTCGCTGAGTAGCTTTCGGAGAGTTGAATGTAGTTGATGCGCGGAAGGCGGGAATTTCGATGTTGCTGGAGAATGATATGGGGACTCAATCGTCGGCAAATTGAAACAGCTAAATCCAGAGTCGATCCCTGTCATCCAAATTGGCATGGTAGGCTAGCATGGGCCACATATCATCCGATCCTCACATGTACTCCACAGTGGATAGTACAAATATCGAGCCTTCTCACATAACCCAAACTTTCTAATTTGAGACCCCATCTGTTAGTTAACCCAGCAGCTGTGGAGGCTAGATGGGCAGGTGGGGATGTGTGTTCTCCACTAGTTCCAATACTTAACTCATGGATCTGGACACAGTCTCGAACACCATCTTCTCGGACCTAAAACGTTCAACGATTTTGTTTTGAATGATGAAGAAACTACTGATGTAATCATATATGTCATCAAAGTATATGATATTGCCACCGACGGATTTCGTTGGTAGTATTGGTAGGACTTGATTAGTAACGGAGTGATAAAGAAATGAACTCGAATTTTGGCGTCTCAGTAGTCACTTCATCACAAATACACATTTTGCTAAATAATGATTAAACCATGTAATGGCATCCAGAACAAGAATCGAGGGTTGAGACTTGGTAACCATGTATAATGCTATGAAAAGGAGGTAAAATGGCATTGCAATAGCAATATACTTGGGGGGAAAATCAAGAGCAGATACCCCTCTGAAGATACTCAAACTCTAGGTAAGGAGCTGGGAGGTATCTGATTCAGCCAAGTCTTCCGTTGCGAAACTTTCAGTTATGGTCGGATAAGAACGAGGGCCCTTTGGTTGCTTAATGAGAACGCAAGTTATGTATCGACTCTGACGAGATGACGGTGTTTGACTAGACATGATTTTATTGGAAGTTGATATGATCACCCTATCCGTAATATGCCTGGTGGCCCACCAATTTGTGGTTGCTTCTGCTATATTCCAATCACGTTGAGGCACTGCCTCAACAGTAGTCAAGAAACTTGTCCCTAGTGCCCATGTCGGAGCCTAATGTGAGCGCGGGAGCCTAAAGTGCGCGTTTGCCGCGATAATGCACCGGAACCTGGACACAGCCAGTCCGGATACTTGCATCTGAAGTTTGATATGTTTGACTGACGCTCGCGTTATTATCGCAAGTGGAGATGTAGTCAGCCAGTGAAATGGAAAGGTTATGATAGAAGGATGTGGTGGAAAAGGATTGGCAGAGTTTGCTGAGGGGATAGGGAGAATCACAAGCTAATTGCTTGCACCCTGATGCAGTGATTGCAGGCTTGGGGCAACACGCAGCCCTAAGTTCGCGACTGGCAGAAAAGTGTTCTTCCCAAACCTACCCAGACACGTTGAGGGGGGCAAGTTTGATAAAGGTAGATTATAAGTTGTCTCATTATCTAGTAGATAGCAGCAAAGGTGCTCGATGTCTATAAAACTGTGGTACAGCTCCACTGGGCTGCACGACCTCCAAGGACCTGGGAGACGCGAAGAGATCGCTGGTGACGAGCTCTTCACCTCAAATGTACACGACCAGCATGATGCCCTCAGTATTCCATCTCCTTGACTCAGCTGGTATACCCATGATCGAACGCCGAACATCTAAACGCACTCAATTTCTCCCATAACGCCATCTTAGCCTGCGGTCAGGTTTTCCGTTATGTACGCAACTCCTCTTGGGTATCATAAAACTGCCATCCTTTTCAATACCCACGGGTCAAGAACAGAAATAGAACTCCAGAAAAGGAAAAAGCCCGAAGAAAAAGGCACAGAGTCCCCTTATCATCCATTTGGGAGATCTTCCATCACCGTTCTAGGTCTCTTTGTGAGAGGATTCTCTCCCTCGGACGAAGGACGCCTCTTGTTGTCCCTCTTTGTTTGCTTGGCCAATTCCCTGAAGAGCTTGACGAATAACACGGCGTCCTCGTCATCAATCACACCTATCTCATCTGTGCACGTGGGGCAGTTAATATTCATGTCATTCAACAGTATATGGGTGCAGACCGACCTCCTTGCGGTCCGGCGCCAACACGTTTATTCGCATCGCTCCCTGACGCTGCTGGGGCAGCCATATTGCGAATATTGGAGTCATGACTGTCCGTGCCGAACGTTATGTTAGGCTCGTCAATTGCGACGCTTTTCACGGTACACCAAGTGTCTCCTTCCCTGTTGTCGCATCCCTCTGCTGTTTCTATTAGCCAGCGGACCTTCACCTGGACCTCACCCTCGTTGCTCCTGCGGTCCCATTGGTTCATATGCCTCTCGGCTACATCTTCGTGTACGTAGCTCTCCGTTCCTGAGCTCACACGCCCAAAGATCACATCTTTGTCTCCATTCTCGTAAGGCAAATTTACCGTAAACTCTGCCTCGGAGAGCTGGAGCCAGAAAGTATTGTCAGCGTAGCTGATTTAGACACCCAATTACCTTCAACTTACCGA